TGGACAGCTGGTGGAGGGGGGAAAAAAAAGCCAAGCTTTGTTCACACATGGGTCAGCCTTATGACAAATGCAAACCAGAAGTGGACTTCAGTATTCTCAGCCCACTCAAGATTGTCCCTGAGAGGTACTAGTGAGAGGACATCCTCCCAATGGACTTCTGGAGATGCACTTAATCACTTTCTTTGTGAAACACATATAGACTTATAAGCAATGGTAAATAACTTGGCTGGTTTGTTAGTGACCTGAAAGGAGAAAAACTAGAAGATGAGGAACAAGGCAATCTGGGGAAGAGGAATATGGAACTGGGCATGAAGTGCAGAGATTTCTGTATCCCATGTTAATGCCAACCAAAAAGCACTCACCAAGGGTGAGGCACTTTACAGTCAAGTAGACAGAATGACTTGGCCAGTTGATGTCAGACAGCCTCCCTCATTAGTCACCTCAGAGCTGATAAAACAGGCATGTGAACAGAGTAGTCATGATGGCAGGGATGGAGGCTAAGCATGAATCCAGCTAACAATGAAAGTTCACGTATCTACTCTTGCTGCTGAATGTCCAGACGATAGCAACAGAGATCACTGCCAAGCCCCTGGTATACCGAACCATGTATCAAAGACACCAACCGGCTGCTTTGTGGTGCACTAATTACATTGAACCCTTTTCTACATGAAAGGCTCAGCAATCTATCTTGAATGAAATCAGCACAGACTCAGGGTATAGGTTTGCCTTCCCTGACCATAGGCCCTCATTAAATATCACTACTTGAGAGCTTGCCTCATGTTTAGTTCACTAACACAAGACCCCACACAATATCCCATTGCACCAAGGAACTCACTTAAAACAAAGGAGGAATAGTAGTGAGCACATGATCATGGGACCCACTGGTCTTGTCACCTACTGTACCACACAGAAACTTTTGATTTTACAGGATGAAGAAATAGCCTTTTGAGGGTGCTACTGCAGCACATTACAGTTTATGCTTAAGGAGGGGGTATCATCCTTAAGGATGCAGTGAGCCCTTTTAATCAATGAGTATTATATGGTACCATGTCCTCTCTGTACAGAATACATGGTTCCCGATAATAGTGTGGTAGTTCCACCTACCATACCCCCCAATGATCTACCAAGAGAACGCCCTCCATAAATTCCTGGCTCTGAGAATATAGAAATTCTGGCTCCAAAAACATAAATATTTCCACCAGGGGTATTGCAAGACTCCCATTAAACTTGAAGCTAAAGCTGCTACTCAGGCACTTTGGACTTCTTGTGCCAAGAGATCAACAGGCAAGGAAAGACATTATCATCCTTGCAGAGACAACTGAGCATGGCTGTCTGAAGAAAGTTGGGCTGTTATTGTACATGAGGGTAGATAAGACTACGTCTGGCAATGAGAAGGACCTCTGGGGCATCTCTTCATAATCCTCTAACCAATCGTAATGGTAAATGGACAAGAGCAGGAGTCATGGCTTAAGAAGAGCATGATGACCAGGAGCTCATCTCCTTCAAGGATGAAGGTCTGCGTCACTCACCAGGTAACCCTGTGGATCAGCAAAAAGTCTAGCTAAGAGGGAAGTAAAACTACAATGGGTTGTGGAGGAAGGATGGTATGAGTGTCAGGTGTCCCTGAGAACAGGTGCATCAGTGAGCACTATAATTTCTCCCATTAAATTTCTTTTTGCACATTTCCCTAGGAAAAGAGGTTGACCATAATTCTAGATCTGTTCCCAGATAGAATGGATTTTTTTTACAAGAAACAAATGAGCCCAAGAGATACAAGGATTATCCACTTCAGTGGATGCTGTGATACATTACCTGATTCCCCCCTTCAGTTCTGAGGATTCTTTCCCCCAGTTTACCAGGACCATTAGCTTCTGAATGCTAGTAGTTGAGTCCTTCTCTAGGAATTGCCCTTGGCTAAAGGGAAATCCCTCACCTAAGGTCATGCCTGTTCCCTCCTTACAAGAGGCACCTGTTCACGCTGTCTCTCTCTTTCAGAGATAAATAAAACATTTTGAAAAATTTTAAAACGACATATTTGGGAGAAAATAAGGCTGGAAGCTATAAAATGTTATTAAATAATTTATATCAAGGCATTCTAGGACTAATCAAAAAAAAAAAAAAAGAGGCACCTGCAGCCAATGAGTGGTCAGCGCCCAAAGGCTCAGCCCCTTTGCCTCAGTTTGGGACAATTCTAAAGGGACTTCTCAACTCCAGATCTCCCCAGGATCAGCTAAGGTCGTTATTAAAATACATCATAGTTCAACTTCTTCCTCTACCCAACCCCTCCCCTCAGTGTCTCACAGATGTCGAGGGTACTCTCTAGTAAAATTTCCACACAGAAATCTCTAGCTCTGAATCTATTTCATGGGAGCACAATCTGAAACACAATATGAGCAAAAATCCTATAAAGCATTCTCACCTGTTGACCCCATAGTCTCACATCCAAGATAATGTAAGGAAATAATGAGGGATGAAATCAGAGTTCTGAGTTTGCTGTTGTGACATTATAAACTACAAAGCGTCTAAATGTTCAATAAGAGGGCATAAAATAATGATAGAGAATTCTTTGCAGCCATTACAATTCATATTTTTGAAACACATGTGGGAAAGTGTTCACAATATAACTTAAGTGAAAGCAGTGCAATACAGAACTATAAGAACTGTAAATAGTTCATAATCATATCACTTAAAGAACTATAAAGTGTAAGAGAAATTAGATGACCCAGTGGTGAGTATATGAGGAAAATCCAAGAACACAGTCAAATTTTGTTTGGGTAAAATTCTATCTCCCAACCAGACCGACTTTTAGATAAAATAAAATACAGTGAGATCTCCAACACTGGCTATTTCAAGAATGGCATAAATGACTGCTTGGCAAGCTTGATGTAGAGTGGAATTTAGTATTAACTTAAGATTTAAAGGTACCTTACAGCCATCTGAAATTCCATTCCACAGTGGGTAAGCATCTTGGAGATGTGTGGTTTTAGCCTGCTTTCATTTGCTTTCCCTTGGTTTGCTTTGCTTTGCTTGGTTTTTCTTAGTTTAACAGCTTAACTCTTGAAGATGTCTGGTTTCTTTGGCTTACTTTGACAATTTAGGGAGAAGGAATTTGCTTGATCCTTCCCACCTCAAAACCCTACAATCCTCAGGCCTTTATCAGAAGCATTCGAAGAAAAGAATTCCAGTAAAAGAAATTCACTTTTCTTTTACTGGATGACAGCACCAAGAATTTCTAGGCAAAAGGAAGGAGTGACCCAGCCCTCATACTAATGGTGGGGGAGAGAATGCTTTTTAAAAATAAGATTTTATATTTGGATCAACTAATAGTGATGGGAAGTTATATTTCATATTCAAATCACCCACTGTGCAAAGTCTCTCATTTTGCAGAGCCCATCCACACCAGGGCAATTCAGAGAATCTGACCCCATCCACCACCAAGTCCCTGATGTTCTCTAGGTCTGAATAAAAATCAAACATTCTGGTTTTCCCAGTTCCTTACCCCTACCCCGAAGATAGTTCAAACACCTCAATGTATAATTTGAGGGTTTTAAGGAGTGAGATTTGAGGCAGACACATCATCCCCAACCACTACTCCAAACTCCCATGAAAACAGCCTGTTCTGAGGAAGGAGGAAAGTCCATTTATGCTCCAAGGAGAGAGGAGCCCTCTTTGTGTCTTCTTTGTGCCCTCCCTTTAGTGAGAAGCGTCAGGCCCTGTTGCTGCCCTCCCTGCCCTTTCCAACCAAGGAGGTCCTGGCCTGGCCACGGACGAGGGGTCCCACAAAGCAAACGGAACCCGCGATTTGGTGTTCTCAGTAAGTCACCACGGTGTGCTGACAGTCTTTCCTTCCCTCTTCACTGGGTTTTTCTCTGTCATGTGATTAAAAGGCTGGAATATGCCAGGGGGAACTGGCTAGAGAACTAAAAGGGACGAATGGATCCTAAAGTGACAGCGTGATGAAACAAGCAAACCAACAGTGAGAAATAAGGGTAGTACAGAGGCTGTATTCCTCTCCATTCATAGACCTGGGGAAATCTCTGTGCTGCAGGACCACTAATTAAAGAAAAATCCATGTGGAGCCAGAGCACCTATGCTTATTCAACAACTACTTCTAAAGCTCTCACTCTAGGTCAGGCACTCTACTAGGTGCTAAGGATACATAGACCCAGACTCTGCCCTCACAGAAATTATATTCTAGCAGCTCCGAGATTTGTTAGGAGATTGTCCTCCAAACCTGGCACACTGAACACCGCTGTCAGACACAGCTGTCCTGTGGGCTCATCCATCCTTTGGATGTTCCCAGGAGTCCTGAGAAAGGGAAATACCAGCCAGACACATCCTGAGAAAAAGGATCCCCTGGAACAACTCAAGAATATCTTCAGGGCTGCACCTGTTTCCCTCTTCTGCTCCGTAAGCCAGGAGACAAGACGCAACTGGCGAGAGCAAATGTTCAAGAAGCCAAAGAAAAGCCGAAAACGCAGCTTGAGCAGCAGCCCTGGGCAAACCTGCACAAGAGGCAAAGTTGTAACCATCCCAACTTTACCTCATTATCAACTTCCCAGACACTACATCCATCTTCAGCTGCCTTAAATATGCCCCAAATCCTCCAATGAGCCCAGACATGCCCCGAGACTAGTGTCTGACTGAAAATACAAGTGAGGTTTAACCTCCCCAGGGATGCCTCAACAGTCCCCGGCCAGCCCTCCACCCAGGCAGGCACAACTGGTGTAATGGAAAAAGCAGAGGTTTGTGGCCAGAGAGACCTGGTTCTCCACCCTCATTCCACCACTCACTATCTTGTGACTGCGGGCAAGGTACTTACCCTCTTTTAAACTCAGTGTTCTTGGCCATACACTGTAGATAATAATGCCCGTCCATATACATTGGAGAAAGATTGAAATATTAACATGCTCTTCGTTCTTTATCGTATCCATCCTCCTCTTGTAAGGGAAATCCATAAATCTCAGCAAAAATAAAATGGGCACTGGCAGCAATCCCACCTGAATAGGGAGGCCCACCTGCGGCCTGCTATCGTTGGTCACCTTGGCTAGGAGGCGGGAGAGGGGTCCTGGTGCAGATACCCAGGGCATCACCCTAGCAGGAGCCAGGCCTCTGGAAAAAATGTATGGAAGAAGCTATCAGTAATATAATCCCCCTAAGAAACAGCATAAAAAGCAAAACACATTCTTAGTTGCTTCACAAAGCCCTGGGTCCTAATGGTCTGTCCTGGCCGTCGTGAAGAGAAGAAAGTAGGACTCGGTTTTATATACAGAGGTGACGTCACTGGGATTCACCGTCTGGTCCCTGGTAATACCTCCGGGCTGACCTGCCCCAGCTGCTCCCCTGTACTCTCTCTCAGGCAGCCTGTGCTCGGTCCCAAGCCAGCCAGCTTTTCCTCACCACTGCCGAGCTTCTGGTTTCCTGGCTCTGTGCTGATCGTGCTACTCTTCTCTCCACTTAGACAGCCCTCCTTTCCTGTTTGCCCCTCACCACCCCCACATATACATGTTCCAGCTAAGATGGACCCTCCTCCAGTCAGGACAAGGTAGTAGAAGCCAGGGCCCAGGGTGGGTGTCTGTGGCCCAGAGCCCAGGGGTTTGCTGGAGCCAGCCAGGGTGCCGCTGTGCACACCGCAGACCTGGGACTTACTCTGGTATGTGTCTCTAAACCAGAATGCCCTTAGAACCAATTCAGGAGCTCTAAACAAAATATATAGACAGCCAAAGCCCATCCCAAACCTACGAAATCAGAATACCTTGGGAGGAGGGGATACCTGAGCATTTGTATTTTTTAAAATATTTATTTATTTTTAAGAGAGAGAGAGAGAGACAGAGTGTGAGCAGGGGAGGGGCAGAGAGAGAGAGAGGGAGACATAGAATCTGAAGCAGGCTCCAGGCTCTGAGCTGTCAGCGCAGAGCCCAATGCAGGGCTTGAACTCACGAACCACGAGATCAGGACCTGAGCTAAAGTCAGACGCTTGAGCAACTGAGCCACCCAGGTGTTTTAATTGGTTTTTTAGAAATATTTATTTATTTTTAAGAGAGAGAGAGAGACAGAGTGTGAGCGGGGAAGGGGCAGAGAGAGCTGGGTATCTGTATTTTTAAATGCCTCCCACTTGGATTCTAATGTGCAGCTCTAGCTAAAACCCACTGCTAGATAAGGACTTTTCTATATAAAAGAAATCGGATGCCATGGTATTACTTCAAAGACTCTACAAATAGGGCTAATGGAAAATAACACAGAAAGCAGGTGTTGGACACCCTGAACATTTACAAATCAAAGGGGCCAGGTAATAAATAGTTTGGGATGTTCAAAGACCCGAGTAAGAAATCCATGAAAGGTTTCATTATTTCTCGTGATTTATTGGCTAGCAGAGGGGTGGAAAGAAGCAAAAACTGAAAATGCCTGACATTTGTCCTGAAATTAACCAGCACCTGTAGGTCTGTAATCAGCAACAGTCATAAGTAAAAATATATTTGTAAATATATCTAGGAAAGTAGAAGTCTCAGGAAACAAGCAGAAAGGCTTGCTTAAGGACAAAGCATACAACGACGTGATAGCTCATGTTTTTGTTTTAGAAAGCATAAGTATGGTAGGAGGAAAGAAACCCAGCAGATACTGCATTTTCAGACTTGAGTTGCAGCATTTTGCAGAGCAACTCATGAAATTTTGATTGCTAACATGGTTCAAATGGCCAGAGAGAGCAAGTCACATGGTTTGAATACTAGCAAAAGATTATGAAGGAAAGGTAAGACTCTGGCAAGTTTCCCACTAGAAAAGGTGCTCAGCAGGGTGTCCTGGGGTCAGTGCTTGCTCACTTTAGATTTAATTTAACATTCTAGTTAGCAGTGTGGAAAAGAGAACAAAAGACCCCTGAAAGAAATCTGAAGAAGACTTGGAAATGAAGATGTTGGCAAACCCAGAGAGAAGAACAAATTGAGATAGATGAACCCACAAGGTTTAACCTATGGAAAAAAAAAACAAACAAACAGCATAAAGCTGAGATTATTTATAAAAAGGCAAACTAGCTCATTGGAGGGACAAAAGTACCCAGACCACAAGAATGTCTAAACTGACAGAGAAGGAAGAGTAGTGGAGAGCACCCTGGTGTGTGGGAGGGTCAGGCTGTACAGGAGTCAGCAAGCTGCCCCCACCCCCTGACCCATCCTTCAGATGAGCATCAGACACAGCATGGACAAAGGCAAAGCATGCTGACTGTATTGATTACCAGCCATAGATGGCTTCTTTCTAGAAAAATAAAACATTACAAGACATGTCTAATAACCAAAAATAATCCACCCCAAGTTCTTTTTCCCAACCGTTGCCATACTGTGAACAAATAGCCAAACTCTAGAAAGTCTTCATCCTTCTACAGCAGCCTGATCTAAGAAGGAAAAATGGAGGTTGAGTTTGCTGGTCCAGGGGAGAAAGGGATCTCAAAAACTGCCACTGACTGAGAGCCTGCTGTGGCCATAGCCCGTAATAGACATGTAAATTCACATTGCTCCGTTTCATACAACAGCAGAGCTGTAAGGCAGCTATTTACACTGCTGAAGAGGTTAAGCAGCTTGCGTGCGAATACACACAGGGTGAGTGCAATTGGCTCTATCTGAATTTGTCCCCTGATCTCTGGGTCTGTGCTCTTTCCCTCTCCTGCTCCTCCCTCGTTGTAATCCTGACCTCCATTCCACCTCTCTGCCTCTGTCTCTAGAGCCTTAGGAGTGTTGCTGGAGAGTGCTAGCACACCAGCCCTTTCACTGATGCTCAGCCAATGAGCAAGCTTCTCCTTTATGCATATATTGATGGTTCCCACCAATCTCATTGCCCCTGTGGCTCCCTACCAAGCCAGGGAGGACAAAGATCCCCTTCTTCTGGGAGTGCCACCACTCCTTGGAAATGTTTCATGGAAGATTCTAGGGAGTCAACTTCTGGCCCAACGGGTTAAGAATCAGGCAGAAGGAGGGGCGCCTGGGGAGCTCAGTTAAGTGTTAGACTCTTGATTTGGCTCAGATCATGATCTTACGGTTCGTGAGATTGAGTATCATGTACAGCTCTGTGCTGACAGTGTGGAGCCTGCTTGGGATTCTCTCTCAAAATAAATAAATAAACATGAAGCGAAAAAAAGAATCAGGCAGAAGGCATTAAAATGGAGCTATGTGGTAGTTAGCCATTTAAAATGACATGAAGGAAAATGCAGGATCCCCTGAGATGAGCAGACAGAGCAGTTTAGAGGGTAGTCACTGGAGCTAGAGTGTCTGGATGTATATCCTGGTTCCAGCATTTTCTATCTGAGCTTGAGCAATTCTCTCTGCCTCAGTTTCCTCTTCAGTAAAATGGGTTGTAGGGGACATTCAAAGTGAAGTACTTAGAAGTGCTCCTCGATGCCAGAAAAACAAAAATGGAACAGAGGCAAAGATTCCAGAAGTGTCAAAATACATTCTAAACATCCCTCAATGAAGAATTTTCACATACTTACTTCACTTGTTTACTTCTCCAGGGACTATTCCATGTTTCTCCTGTTTTCTGTAGACTGATTACCCCTCGAGTTGTGCTTGTAACTATTTATCCCAAGGGAAATGGGAAATAACAAGCAAACAAAGCGTGCACTGAAGCTGGGTGGCTGCCGATGACGGGCCTCCTTGCGCAAAAAGAAAAAAGGAGCAATGATGGGGAAGCTGGGTCCCCAAAAGCCCAATAAACATTTTTAGCAATAACAGATTCTTCTTGCTGACTTTAGATAAGGCTATTATATTGGAGACCACCTGGGCAAACGGAGAAGCTGCTGAGATTTTGAAAATTTCTATCTGAACACAGGTGCCTCAACCCAAGCAAAAAAAAAAAAAGAAAGAAAGAAAGAAAGAAAAAGAAAAGAGAACAGATGAAGTCCAAATAAGCCTGCCGGTGCCTCTTCTTACCATCTGCTGCAAAAGCTGGTCCTGTTTCTGCCATCAAGGAGAGAGGATTGGACAAGGCCCCCACTTCCTCAGTGGGGTGGGTCCCCCACAAAAGGGTTTCCTAGCACATGGCCTCCAACATGAGCAATAGAAAGCACAAGGAACAAGGAAATGATAGTATACATGGTTCTGCTTCAGCAACTGGCCCCAAAGGCAGCTTTGGATGCCATTTTTGGATTTCTTGAGCTTTTCCAATATCTAGAACATAGTAGGTTCTCAAAACATATCTGCAGGATGAAGAAACTCAAAGAATGCATGCAAGGGGTGGCCAGGTCACTGTAATCCAGTCCCAGAGGAAATAGGGAAAAAGCATTTTGCTAAACAGAGCACGCAATGGTTAAGAGTCATCCCAACATGGAAGAGAGAGAGTCTTGGCTTCCAGCCTCAAGACTAGTGTGTGAAAGGATTTCCCAAGGCTCTGGTTATAAAGGCAAATCCTAGAGGTGCCTGGGTGTCTCAGTCCGTTAAGCATCTGACTTCAGCTCAGGTCATGATCTCACGGTTTGTGGGTTCAAGCCCCACCTGGGGCTCTGTGCTAATAGCTCAGAGCCTGGAGTTGGCTTCGGATTCTGATTCTCTCTCCCTCAAAAACAAACATTAAAAAATCTTTAAAGGCAAATCCTAGAGCTCCACTCCCCAGGAACAGAGATTCTAGGATGAGACTCAGGAATTTGCTTTTTTTCTTAAAAAAAAAAACAAATTCCATATGTGATGTCAAACCAGGTGGTCTGTGGCTCACACTTTGAGGAACAACTGCTCTAGGTCCCCCTTCACTGGTCACCTTACCTTGAGTGATGATCTGATCAAAGATGATGTGAATGCTGGCCACCTCTTCCCCACAGGAACTGCTTAGCATCTCAAAAATGAATGGACGCCACAGCCTCCAAGACCTAAATGCAGACAGAAATCTTCCAGAGGAGCTGGAAGCCCACTCATCAGCAAACAAGTCTCAGGTCAACCAGAAGAGAAGTTTCTGGTGGGGACGAGCAGTAAGAAAAGGTGAGTAACATTGTCCGCATGACAGCCCCTGCTCCACTGACATTCCTGTCACATGAAGTAAGAGCCATCTGCATGAAAGCATATGTCCCTAGGAAAGAAAATTCCTGGAAAACATAGAGGTCTTTATTGCTTAGGTTTAGAAAGAGGACAGGGTCAATCCCTCCATTATGATAAAATATGGGTAAATTGAGAGCTCAGTGTCTTGCAAAGCATTATAAAAATTTAATTTTATCTTATCACTGGCTTAATTCTTGAGGGCAGATCTTTAAGAGGAACAAAGTCACAATGAGCATTCCCCTGCGAACCCTGACGGAGACAGAATGAGACTTCAGAGCTGAGCATGTCCACTGGAAAAGCTGGCTGGTCTTGCAGGGTGTTTGCCTGCAGGCTGGAGTCTCAGACACACAAAACTCACCGTTCGGGAAACAGCCCCTCCCGGGACCGGGATTTCAATGCCTCACCAGGTGTGTGTGAGAGAGAGAAACCAAACAGAACTGAGAAGGAACTAGTAAGCTCAACTCCCAACCCTAATCCACTGAAATGAAATGCAATCTGCTCACTGATCCAGACGAAGGGACCAGAAAGACAATGCTAGGCCCTCACCTGGAAACTGTTGGAATGCAGTCTGTCAGCATCGGGCTCCCTTCTCTGGAGCAACCTGATGCCCTGCCTTCTTCCAGACCAAGAATCTTTTCTGGTCTGTTCAACTAGCATCGATTGAGTGCCTAATGGATACTCTGGGAAGTGCAGGGAACCGATCCCCTCAGCTCGGCACACGTGAGTATACCTGGGCATTGGCCAGCATCCTACTTGAGACAAGAAGACACCTTGAAAGTCCCCTGTGGAATTTTAAAGAATAGTAAATGATCAGAAATTCAATCAATAAGATCCGAAAGCACGAGCTACTTAAAAAGGAACTGTATCCCAAATTTGTTTGTTTGTTTGTTTTTAATTCATCACTTAGAGGTCCATCTCATTAGTCCAAAGGTATAGTTGATTGATCCTCATCAGTTATACAGTCTAAACCTAATGAAGTCACAGTGCAGGTAAAATTATACCTGTACAGTGAAAACAAGGGAAACATTTCTGCTACATGACTATCATGAACTTTGTAATTAAAAATTGTATTATGACTTTATAAAATAATTTTTTAAACATTTAAAAGTTATCTTTAATGACGACAGCCTCAGGACATATTTCATTAGAATTTGCTGAGAAAGAGGAGATTTTTACAAAGAGGAAGAGGAAACCTGGACTGAGAAGGACTTTAGACTCTTATCTCACATGCTTTTAAAAAAATGACACTTCCGGGGCGCCTGGGTGGCTTAGTCGGTTAAGCGTCCGACTTTCGCTTAGGTCATGATCTCGCAGTTTGTGGGTTCGAGCCCCGCGTCGGGCTCTGTGCTGACTGCCAGCTCAGAACCTGGAGCCTATTTCAGTCTGTGACTCCCTCTCTCTCTGACCCTCCCCTGCTCACGCTGTCTCTCTCTCTCTCTCCTAGAAATAAATAAAACATTTAAAAAAAATTTTTAAAAAATGACACTTCCTCTTGATAAGAAAAATCATACATGTTGTGGATATGTTGAAAATTTTGAAAAACACATTAAAAATCAAAAGTAAAGCTTATAGATTATGCATGGCCAGCGGATGCAACTACTGTTAACATTCCACTGTATTTCTGTCCAAGTTTTTTATCCTAAACATATAGGCATGTATTTTTTAATTGGAAGATATAAACATTTTTTTTGTCATCTGCTTTTTCATTTTTTACTATACGGTTGCCCATTTTATCACCCTGTCATCAACACTGTGTTTATTAGATTTCTTCTTAATTCTGGCCAAATTGATAAGCCAAAAATTATCTCATCTTAATTTTTACTTGTCTGATCACTAGAGAGATTGGCCTTTGCTTTCCTTTGTAATGACCACTTATATTTTTTTATATATACGTAAATTATCTTTTGTGTCTTCTGCCTACTTTTCTGCTGGAGTATTCGTAGTTTTCCTGGTGGAAAAGATTATGAATATATAGGAATATCTCCTTGGCCATATGCATGTCATAGATATTTTCACTGTCCTTTAATTTTGACTTTGTTCATGGTGCCATTTAACAATCAGAATCTTTAGTTTGTGTATAATCAAATCTACCCATATTTCCCTTTTCAGTTTCTTCCTGTTTTTAAGTATAGAAACTACTTCCCCACATGATCCCCCATCCAAGTTCATTTTCTTCAAGTTGGTATGATTTAATATTTATATTTTGAAAAAACTAATGTATTTACACAATTATAAGGCCAAATTTATAGATTTATATATATACACAGAAGTCTTACCTGTACCCTTTCCTCCCTCACCCCCTCACTCCCATTCTTTAGAGATAATCATTATTATTAGTGTCTTGTTTACCCTTTTTGCAAAGTTTAAAACAATTCTCCATTTGATTCTTCTGAAATTAATACATTGTATTACATATTGAAAAGCATTCTGTTTTTCCACTAAATTTTCTAATTGGTGATGATTAATATCAAAATGTTGATTTCTGAACATTTATTTTTTAATATATTCTTCATGTTGAATTTTTAATAATTTTTCAGTTTGTTGTCTTGGGTTTTTAGATAGACAATCATATCACCTTTTGTACTTACACTGATAATCTCATTCTGTATCTCCAAATAGTATATTCTTATTCTAGCTCTTATTTTGTTACACTGAAATAAATCAGCATCTTTCTTTGTGATACATTTATAATTATAACTTATAATACTACTTATGATTTTTAATCATAAGAATCTTTCCCAGCTCTCAAAGATAATGACGAATGCCATTGGAGTTGCTGTTATCATTTATATTGGTTAGGATGGGCTAAGTTATGTTGCTTTCCTAAACAACCATGAAATCTTAAAAGCTTAAAACAATGAAGGTTTTCTCTCACTTAGAGAAATCATGACCATGCATCAGGAGAAGCCCAGTTCCATGTGAGCCAGACTCCAGGACAATCAAATACAATCGAATGTTGTCAGCTATTGTTGCTCAGGCTCAGGGAAGGAAAGGTGGAAACTTGTGTACTGGCTCCCACAGCGTTCTGTCTGGAAGGGACACATGTCATTTCCAATTACATTTCATTGGCCAAATCAAGTCATCTAACCATGGCTGCTTGAAAAGAACATAGAAAAAGGATAGAAATTCTATCCTACCATTTGCCATAAGGAAAACAACGTGGAAATATGGGTGGACAGCACTAACAAACTACTATGTCAGTCTAAAGCACACATATACACCCACCCACAAATGACCATGAATAGATTCTTCACTGTTGATGATAGTTTTTAACCTGTCTTGGGGCTTTGGTGGTGATGGAAGTAATCCATGTTATATACACTAACAAACTAGATGATTTTTATATAGACTCTCTAATCCAATAATGCTCACCTTCCAATTCAAAGATTGAATTTTTTAAATTTATGCATTGTTGGGGCTTTTACTTACTTCTTCCTTTCTCCTTAGAGAGTCTAAATTAATTAAATTTTACTGTAATTTGCTGGTGGCTGATTTCCAGATTTAGGTTCATAATCATGAATAAAATAGCTCATAATTTAATTTAAAATGCAAGTAATCCCTATGAGGCTATAGTTTACTTCCAAATCTTACTCATTTCAGAAACCTATGCTCAAGAGACGTCATTGCTTTATGACACTGATCAATAGATGATCACATATTCATAAATGTCCAGTAATTACTAAATAATTCAGTGTGGTAAGTCATTTCTAATCATCTCTAAAGTCAAAGATATTATTTAATCTTTCCTCATTTGGGATTAATTGCACTTATTATATAAAGCAACTGTTTGCCCTAAAGAAAGTGGAGTCATTCAATCCTCAGCATCCCAAACAGAACAGGATCTTCCATTTCCATGGCCTCCATCATGCCCACAGGGTTGGCATACCTAAGACATGAAATCACATAGAAATTCTCTTAGGAATCCCCCAAAACATGTCTGTGAATCAAGAGCCAGCAAATACACAATTATGGTATTAAACCACTGATGAGCAACACAGAAAACCTGCATGTTTTTATAGCATGCACTCCTTAAGAGATTTATCCATTGACGTTAAAATCCCAAGCAGAAATTCTCCTTGGCATGGAGGGTACCAACTGTGGTAGTAACATTTGTTGAGAACTTACCATAGGCCATCCATTATGCAAAGTACTGGCCCCATCTTCTCATTTAAAGCTCTCATCTACCCTGAGAAGTAGGAATTACTTACTACTTTTATTTGACCAGAAGTACACTGAGTCTAAAGAGGGGAAATGTTTTTACCAAAGTCAGACAGCAGGAAGACCAGTTAGGAGGGATTTCAATGTTGTAAATAAAGTGTCGGTAGGTTGGACAAGGTCATGATGGTGGAACTAGAGAAGAGGGCATTTGGAATATGCTTTGCAGCAGAATGAGTACCAGGATTCTGGCTTGAGTACTACGATGATAGCCCTTATTTACATGAGAAAGACTGGGAGAGAAATAAGTCGGTATGTGCCCCACCCAAACCAAAAAAAAAAAAGTGAAAAACACTTTGTAATCATAATACATATAATAATACATATAATACACACATATGCATATACACATTTTTTAAACATGATTCTGGAGGGGAATGTTCTTTCACTTGCTGTTTTTCATATTGTCCTAGGACAGGAGACCCTCAATCATGAGGATTTTGGTTGTTTGGGGTTTAGTTAATGATTTGGTCCATTAAAGCAGGGCACACACAGCAGAGGAGAAATCTAGCACCAAACCATCCTTCAATGGACCCACCCCTCCTCTGGTTTCCATTAGCCTTAGCACTTAGCGAAATTAGCACTGTTTAAAAATGGCTATTCTTTGTCCTCCTCTGAGTACTTGTCTAACTTGTAACCCAACTCTTCTTTGCCAGCCCAGA